AAATGAGAATGTATTAAAATGGATTGAAATTTTTTTATCCAAATATGCGTATTTTAAATATAGCAAATAGCTTTTTTTGGTGGATTTAATTGGATTCAATTGGATTCAATTAAATTCAATTGGTTGCAATTGGATTGAAATATTGCATTTCCTATTCAAAATTTTGAATTAAACAGTATTCACAAAAAAAGTTGATATTATTTTTAGATTGAAGGCCATAGAGATATGCTGTATGCAATTCTTATAAAGGAATAAAAATGCATTCTGGATTGAAAAGTATTCAGTTTAACATTCGTGAATCAATATTTCTGAAAATCTGAATCCATTTCAATTCATTTCAATCCATTCTCGTTTGGAGGGAAGAGGGGGGGGGGAAGGCAGCTTTGTACAGAGGCAGCTTTGAATTTTAACAAATTAAAAATGAACTGTCCTCTTCTGCGATTACAAATTGTCATTTTTGAAATGGCAATTATACAGTCACAGATAACCGTCAAGTGATAGCTGCCGCGGTCGCAATTGTTAATCTAATCTAGAAACATTTTGTGTCTTCGTATTAAACATTTCTCGCACACGTAAGCATTTTAAAATTAAACCATTAAATAATTAACATTTTATTGTGCTATGTATTTTTTCTTACGTTCATTTTCTACGTAATAAAGATAAAATATTTGATTTTTATCAATATTCTGGTAAATTAAATAAAATATTTAATATGACTGATAGGGTAGATTTAAACAAATAAGACAAATTTAGAACATTTCAGTCGCGACTGTCGCGAGCTCCCATAAAGCCCATGGTACATAGGTAATGATAAAAACGTAGACAGTAAGGGCGAATTTTATCAAGCTCCAGTTAACTTATAACAAATAACTTTGCAGGATTCCAACTGAAACAGATGTCGGAGGAAAAATGCTGAAAAGTTACATCAGATAATATTGTACATTTACATTTACATTACATTTACATTACATAATTTCTCTTTGCATTTTTTCTTCGACATCTGTTTTAGTTGCAAAGTTATTAATCAGAATTCATGGAAAGACAGAGGGGTATGATTAACGCGATGTTGAAAATGCTTTGAAGCGTTCTTTAATTGGTCAATTTGTAAAATTCTTTCTTCTAATTGGTCCATCAAACGCTTCAAAGCATTTGTTGTAGCGAGACTTTGACCACAGCCAGAAGCAGACAAGCGAAATGTACTACTATTACTGCGAGTTTCGATTGGCTTCCGCTTTTCCGCTTTTCGCTTTTCCGTTAAGATGTAAACCTGATCTTACATAACGCATAAAACATGAGGCATAAAGTATTTTGATTGGTTCATTTTCTTACGCCTTATGTGTGTTATGCATTATGCAAGAGTGTGCTCCCCGCTTCACGTTTTTGTATGTGCCATAAGCTTCAGTCCTTCGCTCATAGATTTGTATGATAAGGTTACGTTTGATTGGTGATGAGCATCGGAGACATGATCTACATATAATAAGATTTACAACGCAAGTATAAGGATAAGGACTCTCTATACTGCAGATTTTTAATTGCTTTCGACGATATAACGGATACGAATACACAGGTTTTTTAAATATCTTTCCACATTTAATAGTTAATCAAGTTAGGTTACAGGACGCAGCCTGTATTTACGAGTCTGAGAAGAAAAAGTGTTCAAAGCTATCCCCTTCTCCCTAAGGAGGTAATAAATTTAACTTGCAATAATTTTTAAGTAGTATAACAAAGATTCAATGGAAAGTAAAATGAGGATCCTATGTATTTTATTTTTAACCGATGATATCAAATGTTATAAAAAATATAACACATATGTTCTCTGTTTATCGGTTCTGCTTTGTAAATAACTTTAATCTCGTAAAAAGATTAATAGTAAGCAGTAATATTTTGTAACAACACATTGCACATGCAGTGTTGTAATAATATTGCACTTAATATGTCTTCACCGAAGATTATTTTAACGCAAGACAATCTTCGAAGAAGGGATGATCAATATGAAATTTTTGATTTTATCTATCGCAATTAATGTAAACTGACGATCAGAGTTTAATTCGTCTACAGTGATTTAGTTAACTGGTGTCATGATGTCGTATAAGATCGTTTTGGTACGTTTTTGATTTTAAATAATTTTTTTTTATCTAAATGAAATATATTATTTATTCTGAAATTATTCTGATGAATGAAACGTGTTATTGTAAACATTGATAATGGAACTGACTCTAGTGGAAGCAAGTTAGTGAATCAGTGATAATATTTTTAGTGTTAAAAAGTGTTTTTGTAATAAATTTCAAGCTTAGCTTTCCACTTAAAAGGAAGTTCTTTTGCGAAGAAAAAAGATTTCTTAAATATTTAATATAAGGAAAATTTCAGAAAAAATTTCTCACCAAACACATTACAAATTTTTTTCGCAATATTCTTACGTATATTCATAGTTATTTGTAAACTTTAAAAGCTATTTACTAATATACAGGATGTTGGAAAGTAATGATAAATTTTCTGCATAGGGGCAGAATGGACCAAACTAAAAAAGAAAAGTCCTCTATCATTTTATGATTTATAGCAATAGTTAATAAGATATTAATTGCTAAAAAAAATTGTCGAAAATTGGTCTTTAATAATTTTTTACTCAAATACTTCAACTTTACAGAAAAACTGCAAGAGACAAAAATAGTTTATTTTCTTCTCATAGAATTCTAAGTATATTTTCAGAATTTTTTATCAACTTTTTAGAATTGATTTTCTTATTTCTACTAACATAAAAAAATACGGTATTAAAAAATTTAGAAAAAAATTCTGAAAAAAATTCTCAGAACTTTATGAGAAGAAAATAAACAATTTTTGTCTCAGTTTTGCTGTAAAGTTGATACTATTTGAGTAAAAATTGTTGAGGACCAATTTTTGGCAATTTTTAACAATTAATATCTTATTAATTATTGCTAAAATCGTAAAATGGTAGAGGATTTTTCTTCTCAGTTTAATCTATTCTGCTCGTATGCGAAAAATTTATCGTTACTTTCCAAATATCCTGTGCACACGCACACACGCACACACACACACACGCGCGCCCCTCACACCGACCCACACACACACACACACACCCACGCACACGCCCACACACACACACACACACACACACACACACACACACACACAAGCGCGCCATTATATTGTAGCAAAATATAATTAAAACACAAAATATAATTAATATTCGGACGAAATATTTATATACAAAAAAAAATTTCATCGTAGCTATATTGTTAGCAGTTTAATATTTAAAACCAAATGTGCAATATAATCTGCATCAGTAACAACAGATAACTGAGTACTGATAACTAAACTGCTGACTAGTTTGAAAGTTATACGTTCACTGGATATAGTAGATAAATCTTGAGTTCATTAATTTTTTAGTGCAAAGACTAAGACTTCTAAATGAAATTTAAGATACATGGGAATGTAATTCTCTCGATTCAACCGAAAATAATCCAATTATGTATTAGGTGTTGGAATTAATTCGTAGCGTTTTACAAGTGATGGGAAGTACTTTCATTAATGTATTTTTTAATGCTCATGTGAAATAAATAACATTCTTTCATTAAAAACGCTACGAATTAATTCCAACACCTAATACAATAAAGCAAAAAAATAAACTATATCTTTTTCTACGAGATTCTTATTTTTAAGAAAATTAAATTTAAAAATTTTGTGTTTAATGTATGTCGCTAAAAATTATTTAATTGTGCCTACTATTTATTATTCGTTTTTTATTTATGCTATTAGGTGTTGGAATTAATTCGTAGCGTTTTTAATGAAAGAATGTTATTTATTTCACATGAGCATTAAAAAATACATTAATGAAAGTACTTCCCATCACTTGTAAAACGCTACGAATTAATTCCAACACCTAATATTTTTTGATTAATTGTAAATATTAATAGAATTAAATTCCAAATATCTAATGCGAATAATCTGATATTTCTTTTAATTCACAAAAAATTATAAACAAATATTTTCTTTGTTACAATTTTTCTGTTATAATTATCGATACAGTGTAAAGTGGATTTGGAAGCTCATAAATTGCTCCTAATTCTAAGTTATGCATTTTTTTATTTCGACATTGTGGGGGAAGGAGGGGGGAGCAGCTGAATAAGAGCTGTTAATTTTTTTTACAAGAAAATGTTAAATATTGCGAAAGGGTTGTTTTTTTCATCAACATTGATACAAAAATGTACATGTAGAAAGATTTTGTGAACTAGTATAATTTTTATGAGACTGCATTTGACATTAATTTTCTTATATTTTTTAAATAAAATTACGTTAAACTCTGCTGATGACAAATTTGTTTGCAATTCAGAATAAATTCATATTTTTCAATGAGCTACGAATACTCTGAATTCAACGATAGATATGATATTACTACTTTGTTGCAATACATAATTCATGGAAAGTTTATTCGAATTATTTATAAAAAACATGTAAGATTAATGATAAGTTTGCTGAGCGAACTTCCTGTTTCTCCTGAATATCGCATTTTACTATGCAACTCGTGATCCATGAATAGAAGCACATGAATTCTATTGGCAGATACTTGATACATATGTTTTAATGATTATGTTATCTTTACTACTTTGCATTCGTTATTCTATATTCGATTTGTATTGTACATATATTCGATTTTTTAATGAACGTAATCAAGAAGTAAAGATATTTTACTATTTGTTATTGTGACATTTAATCTTATAGTTATCTTTCTAAATAGTTTATTGACATAAAATTTCAAAATATCCCGTCATAATCAAAATTTATTATTGCACTGTAAAAAATTGCTTTAAAATTCAGAAAAAAAGCTGAAATGTTTTTACAGTTACATTATCTGAATTCTCGGACAGAATATTGTCTAAATTTTTAGTCATAGTTAAATCAATTTCTAATCATATTTCTTTGAATTTTTAGTTGTAGTTTGAATATTCAAACTTTGCTGAATTTTTAATCAGTCGTCTGAACATTTTTAATTTTTAAGAATTACTAGTTACTCTCGAAATTAAAATAATGTAGGAAATGAAAGTTCGGTGCGGTACTTAATTAAACACAATTATTGGTTATATGTATATATAAATTGTATTTGACTTGCTGTACACTCAAACGTTTCGATCTCTTGGGGTCATCCTCAGCGAGATTAACGAAGAAAAAATAAGGTTTCCAATCTTTTGCGTATCAGACGAGTCCCTACTCAGCCGCGTATTTCCAAAGGTTCACCATGGTCCAAAACCGGTGATAATTACTGGAAAAACAGATATCTCTGAGGTACTAAGAATTAGTATCTCAGATATCTGTTTAAATGTTATCAGCTGAAATTACGAAGACTATGTATCTCGTAAAAATTCTGTAAAACAAACATAGAAACTGACATAGAAACTTGCTTAATTTTGTAATAAAATTGTAATTTCACGCTCCTATAACTGAAACATGCAGATAATATTTTGATCGAAATTTAGACAATGTGACTAAGAAAACTTTAGCTTTTATCTAAATTTTAAGGCAATATAGTGTATTTTAAGATTTTATATTGCTATACATATGTATAAGTTTTCATATTTTTTAATAATTAATTCTTTATGACCAGCGGGACGTATGTATGTGTCTCATTGAGAATTTCTCTTAAATGTTCTTATTGATTGCGGACTAAGTGTACACTGTTAGAAATGTTTTTAAATTTCATTAACTTTTAAGTTACACAATTTGAACTTAATTTCATAACATTACATTAAATTTAATAATTTATAACTAAAAAATATGCTTGTGTACATGTACATAAAATTTGATCTAATTTTCATAAAAATTTATGAAATTTAATGTTTCAAAATTAATGTAATAAAATTTTATTAAAAGTACATTAAATTTCATAAATTTAATATTTTTAAATTTTATATTTAATATTCGGGCTGTGTTCGATTAGGTTTGCAAGTGTTCACATCGATCTTTCATTTTACTTTTAATCAAAAAGAAACGAAAGAACATAGCTTAATTATTTTTACAACTTTTTTAAACTTAATTGGATTAAAATGAAAAATGTTCTATTTATAATTTTGAATAATTTAAGTAGCATTTATATGATTCATTTTAAATAAAAACTTTTTTTATTATTAATTAGATTGAAAAACTGCATTTCATATTCAGAATATTGAATTGAACAACATTGCATAGAAATTGCTAATATTTTTGAATTTAACTCTGAATTAAAAAAAACTGTACTTCTTATTCACAATTCTGATTGAGTAATATTTACAAAGCACAGAAAATGCTAATATTATTTTTAGATTGAAAGGCATAGAAATATGCAATTCTTATAAATAAATAAAAATGTATTCAGGATTAAAAAGGATTCATTTTAATATTCATGAATCCATATTTCTGAAAATCTGAATCCATTTTAATCTATTTTAAATTTTCATTCTCATTTGCTGGATAGCTCTAGAGTGCTGTACTATACACAGCCATTTTACATACAATTACAGCCTTGCAGATAGGTGGCGTACTAATACTAGCGACAACATGGGGACAAAATCTTATATCTAAAAAGTTTATGGCGCAAACAATCATTGAAAACACTAGAAATTAAGTTGGAACAAAATCATAATATTGGGTCATCTAAAAAGTATCCGCGGTTTTTTGTCACTAGATGGGTTGACCATTAATACCATCTAATGACAAAAAACCGCGGATACTTTTTAGATGACCCAATATAATTATACACAGCGTCAAATAATAATATATTGAGATAGTAAAATAATAGAGGCCACCGAAAATAGCATAGAGTATCCAAACTTTTACACTTTTACATTAGACTATCATATATCTATCTTACACTTATGGGGATGCCTCTGTTCTATCATCTGTGCTGACATCTGTATGATCTGAAATCAATTTTATTGTTTTAATCAATTTTATTATTCACGAAAGGGTTCATGACACGTTTTATTGCTTTTTATTGCAGGCTGAACAACGACTACGGACGAGTTTTTTAATTCATCGATTGATCAATCGTAAATGCAGCTTTTATGAAATAAAATTACATTTGTGCACAATGCAATGAATTAAAAAATTCGCCTTATATTTACACTTATGCAAGATATAAAAAAAATTTACGCCCAGGTGTTTGTAATCTTCGAGCGCTTTCACCCTCTTCTAACTCTAGTATTTCTACCGACTTTTATTTTTCATTACCGGTATTTCTTTTACCTATATTTTTATTATCAAAAAGTATTTACATATAAATAGTAAGAAAAAGCTCCACTTAGTTGATTATTGCTAATCTTATTATTTTATGAAAAATTATAACGTTATTATTAAATGTTATTTTTAAAAAAGTGCGTACAAATGTTAAATAGTCACTATTTAGTGACTATTTAATTTGACGTACGCACTTTTTTTTAATAGCAGCAGAGAGAAACCTGGGAGGACATGACCCAACCCTTATAACCGCAAAATGCTGCCACGCACTACTGCCCTCTGACAAAGTGGATGTAAATTATATAGCAACGTCTACTTTTAGAGTACACAAATCGTCCACTTTTCAAGACTGGGGCGCGATTCCGTAACTGTTTTATGCGTGTACTTTACCGATATTCTCATTCTAAAGGTATACTGTCATTGAATATCGCGTGTCGTGTGCGACTAACATCGTGCTGGTGTGCCGGAGCCATTACATGCCTATAGACAGTTGTCAGTGTCGATGCGCAACTGTTTCACCATATAAAATATTTGCAACGACACCGATAATTGTTGGTAGGCGTGTAAGGATAGTTACAGAATAGCACTCCTGGAGATAAAAAATCGATATTTGATCCATATAATCGTGCTACATATAGAGATGTAAACGTACATCATCAGATTTTAGACCGTCATGTCTTCTCTCAGGTTTTCCTCCGATTTGTGTGTATGCAATATATGCAACAATTGGCGTGAATGGAATACAAGAAACAGTAAAGCCAAACAAAATGAGATATGGTTTATGAGAATTCACGATAGCTTTGGAGGACCATGCGACTCGTGATAGCGATGAATGCTAAGTTGCCGGTGATCCTGAGATAGCACAGTGCGATCATGCGTTTATTTCACGTAAACCGGTCAGCTTCGGATTATCATACACCGTTGCCGACTGCATAAATACTTTACACTAGACTGTATAAATAGAATGCTCAGGTTACAGATCAGGATTACTCAGGATCACCCGGATTCATCCCGCAATGACATCGGTGAGATTTTTCATAGCAAAAGATATTCCGATCAAGAACCTTTGAGGTAAATTGAATAAGTATATATCTATGGCTCCCAGAGAATTAAAATTTAAAATAAAATCAATTTTGAATTTTATTAATTCCTACATATAACAAATTAAAATAAAAATATTCTACATATGATTGTTATATTTTTTTAGTTGCATCACTTTTGAAATTACTATGATGGAACCAGCTATAAATATTATTTTATCAATCATCAAAAATAAACCAATTTAACTTCGTGAAGATCATCAAAATGTTATAATTTAGAAAGTGATTTTTTTAAGGATTGTGAAATGAAATGATATTTGATTATGTTAAGAATTATTTCAGCAATATTTTTTTAATAATCTGTTAAGTTGAATAATAATTTTTTCTACTTTCTGGAAATCTTAATTTTCTTTCAATTGTGTTAAGAAAATGATATGATCTTATAAATATATTAGCTCTATAATATTTAAAATATATTATATCTGACTTCTGAGAATATAACTTTTTGTTTTATATATGTTTAGTGATAATAATGGAGAACAATCTGGAACTTATCCTGCCTTATTGCCTGCAACTGTGGTGGTGCCTGGAGTATGGCCTCATGTACAGCATTGTTATCAATAGAAATCCAGTATTTCTCAGATTTATTACATTCATTGAGATTAATAATCCAATTCTGATCGATTTAATACGTAGAAAGATTTAACCTTATGTGGGAGTTTTCTTGAAGAAATCTGAAGAGTAAGTTCCTTCAAATCATTAGAGGTTAGTCCTTTATATATATATTTTTAAAAAGATACTAGAAGGTTTGCGGATTATCGCTGTATTTCTATCCATTGTAATACCAACGTTTCATGACGAGAAGTGATGACCATATCAGTGCGCTCCTTGTCCTGATGAAGTGAACGGCAAGATTCATGAAACGTTGACATTAGCAATGGATAGAAACACAACAATAATCAGCAAACCTTTTGGCATCTATGAAGATAATATCCGTGAAAGTCTAAAAATTTAAGCTTTATATTTTTCTTAAAATAAATAGTTTTATGGCTCCAAGAATGCGAATCAAATATAAATATAAATTGCTTATCTGCGGTTATTAATAAATAATATTTATAAATTTATTAAAAGGCGATAAGAAATATAATTTGCAAACAATTATAATGTACTTATTAACGAAATTAACAATAGATTTTCATTCTACATATGTAACTTTTGTATTAAAGAGGACTTAAAACTATAGTTGAAATATTTGTAGTTAATTTAGTTGCAAAGTAGTTGTTTATATTCCAGTTGTTTGCAAATTATATCTTATTGCTTTATAAGTATATTATTTATGCACTAATAACTGTGGAAGCTTATACAAGCGCAATTTACTTATATTTTTCTTAAATTATACAAAAATTTTCATTTTATTTTATTTCTTCAAATCATTATTTACAAAAAATAACAGACAAAGAATTAAATTGAATATGCAAGTAGTTTCTTTATGTTCAACAAATAACTACAAACAAATTCAAAATTTATATTTTATTAAAGATAAACTGAAAATGATATTAATTTAACAATATATTTTTTAGAATATAATATTTTTGGCAATCGAGTATAGATTTCTCCAAAATGTTTCAGAAGCTGTCCAAGTCGATCATTGTCCAGTTCAACATCATCATTGTCATTAACTCCTAAAGTGCTTAAAAGAAAAAGAAAAGTTCTCTCAAAGAAATTGATAAATGACAACAAAAGTCCATTATGAAGAAAAAAAAATATGAGAAGAGAAAAAACTAGAAATGCTAATAAATTTAGACAGGAAAAGATTAATATGCAAAAGGAAAAACTTAAGATGGAATAGAAACTATTGGATGCACTAACAACATTGAACTCGATAAAAAACTAGTAAATATATATATATTTATTAAGTTCCTTTAAATAATCAATTTCTATGATTATACAGAGTACAAATTAAATTGTGACTGCATTGATTAAGTCTAAATAAAGGATTGTGATTAGTTTATATCTTAACACTAGAATCGCCAGTGATATTCCGCAAAAACTGTCCGAGGTAACAATAAAGTATAATTTTCTATCCTTTGTTTTCGATGAAAAATTATTTTGATATTATTCATTAAAATTGTTTCACATATTTTTAATATTCTGTACTGTATATTTAATACAAGAAAAAAAAATTGAAATGCGGAAAAAATTGTATTATTTAGATAGAGATAAAAGTCTTTAATAAGAAATAAAAATATTTTTGCTCCATCACTTTAACAGCTTTTTGTCCAATAGGCTATTGAATGAATTGATATGCAATTTCGAAAAGAGCAGATATAACTTTCCTCAATGCTCGGAAGCAAGTTGCTTTGCCAACTCCGAACCTATTACTTATTAAAACTAACTGCAAACTAAAATCAATATATCAAACAAGAGAATAGAGAGAAATATAAACAATTATAATATCATATCAAAAATTTTCAAACGACTATAATATGCTGTGTCTTGCATTTTTTAATGACCGGATATTTAATATTTTTTTATTCGCAGTCTTGCATTGCATTGCAAAACAAAAATTAGACAAAAATATTTATAATATTATTTAGTCATTAAATAATGCAGTTACAAAATAATATTATGCTTAATGTAAAAAATTGTGAAATTGCGAAATTCAACAAATTTGATTAGAAAGTTGTAGAAAATATATATATTATAATAAATAAATCATAATACAGAAGAAATAAGATTTTTTGAAATTACCTTTATAATATTATAATTAATATAATTATAAAAAATATATTAAAGCGTTATCAATTTTTAAGTTTTAATTTTTATTTATTTAAATTTGTATTATTTAGGATAGAGATAAAAGTCTTTAATAAGAAATAAAAATATTTTTGCGATATTTTAAGTCATAAGTTTCTGTGCAGTTAATTTTTGTTATTTGCATTATTTAAGATTACGTAAAAAAATTATGTATAAATATATTTACTAAGTAAAAATATATATACAAGTATTTTATTTCTTAGTAAAATATTTTCTTATAGACTATCTTTTTATGCAATCTTAAATAATGCAAATAATATAAATAATATAAATTAACTGCTTAGAAATTTATGACTTAGAATATTTATATTTGCATATACAGGTGCGCATAGATTCGAATATAGCGCTAGCTCCCCATCTCTTGTCATGTCACCTACTTTAGTTCACTTCCGGGTTCAGACCATGGTGGCACTGAAAATTGTCTCCCTCTTTTCAAGAAGAATTTGGACCTGCCTTTGTATGTGTCACGCTTGCTGCCATATCCCCTCCACATACTATAAACGAGTCCAATTTGGCAACACGCGCGAAGCCGAAATCGTTGCTATAGCAACGATATATGACGTGAACTGCGAGGTCGAAAGCGACATCGCGCATTCACCGCGTGGTAGCGACATTTGAAATCATCAGCGCAATGCACCTATGCTAATGGCCACGATGGAAGCATTATATGGTGTGTTAGCAACATGGAGTTTTCATCCTTTTTCATGCAGCCAACGTCATCAATCAGTGTGTTATCTATCTGTTGTCGTTTGATATATTCGTACATTATCATATAAATATATTAATTTTTTTACAAATTTTATTGAAATATTATAAGACAGAATAAATAATTCATATTTTAAATTATATACATTATCTTGAAGATTGTGTCGGAAGACACAAATTATTGAAATGTCAAAACATTTTAATAATTGACAAATTTTAGTTACTGACAATAAAAGTTCAAAACATTAAAAATATATTTAAAAAAATGTTAATATTCTCTATGTTGTCATTATTTTGTATTTTTGTCTTATGTTCAAATATTTATAATTTCATATTGTTATTTTTAAACAACAAAAAGTAAAAAAATTTATTTGAGTCTGATATCCATACGAAAAATGCTTGCATTGCATAAAAATATTAGTCGAAATAGATAGAGAGCAAGAATCATTGCCGGGATCGCTGTTGTAATCCATGATGCAACGTAAAATCGAAAGATTGTATTGGAAATCGCAATTATCGGCACGAAAATAATCGTTAACAGATTATTAGCGAATGTTCTAGAACATTCTCTAATAATGTTGGCATATGAAACGCGGGCCATGGTTGGGGATTCTCTTAGTTATATATATATATATATATATAAACGCAAGATTTTCGCAGACAAGAATTCACTTTTCAGGACAGCGAAATCGATTATTTTTATGCATTCTCGTTTACTGGCGCCGATTAGCTTTAAATCGTGGCGAGTAAGAGAAAGAAAATGTTCACAGGAACAATCGATGGGCTACTAGAAGGGCCGACCGCGAACAGGCCTTACGAGCTCTCGTACGCGAGTACCATCGCGCGGCGACATTTGATCCGGGATATCCCGCAGTATCATCCGGTTCTAGGAAACCAA